ATGTGTACGGTATTTCTTTTATGCAAATTTATTTCCATCACATATAGGCCTACAAAAGCATAAATAGTCCTACTTTTGAAGTTCGAGAATCTGCAAACCAAAGACATTCGCAAGCGTCAAGTGTCCAGTGGTAATACCATAGCTTTTGAGTTCACGGTCTTGATGAAAACAATACTAAGTCAGCTGATCGATCTTCCCAGGCACCTCATCGCATTGACCTTTGCTCGATTGTTTTGATGGATTAAGCTTAGTTGTATTGGATATTTGGGTATCATATATTATGCAGGATGAGAAAACCAAAATGACTTGCCTTTAAAGTGTGTGTAAATGTAAGTGCCTTATTAATATGGAAATAGGTCTTGATGAAACACAATTAAGGCTTCATCTTCATAAATCAGCAGATCGATCATCCAAGGCACCTTGTATCGATCTTTGGTCCATTGTTTTGATATATTATTGGGCTATTTAGATATTGTGCAGGATGACCGAAGAAATCCAAATAGTTGTTCTACACATAGACCTAATCCTTTTTTAAAGCGTGCTGTATGTAAGTTTTGCCCGTACTGTTAATATGCAAAAATTACTGATGTCATAAAATTAAGTAAATAAATGAGTAGACTGAGTCATCTAATTACAGAACTTCAATAATGTAAAGCATTGTTTATTACCAACTAACGGCTAATCGTGGTTTTTTTGTCCATTGTAGGCCTATACGATGCCATTGCTGTGACTAGGCCTACTCTTGACTTTTTAAGGGGTTGTTTTGATCATATTTATGTCAAGTATATACAATTCTCCATTCCTAAAGTGGACTTAAATTGTATTTGGAGGGAGACCAGTAGCCTACTATAAACTCAGAAGTTTGTTTTATTATTATATTTCATGCTTTTATATTTTTCAAAAATAGGACTGCACTTGTTCTGAGGACATTTATTGTTAGAAAATTATAGATACGGTACACGGCATATCTGATACATCATAATAAATTTAGTTGTTTTTGTATATCGTCTTTCGGACACCTAAGGCAAAGGTGACTTCGTGTTCTATGGAGCTCAAAGCTCAAGTTAGGGCTCATTTTCAGGTTCATGCGGCGTTGATATACTTGGCCATGGTGTTTTGAATAATTTTCTTTGTGTTGTGGCACATAATTGTTGCCAAGCCGATGTGAACCAATCAAATTGACGATACAGATGGCGTAAATGAATCGTTCGATACTGATTCCATTATATGCAAATCTTGAATTGTTTACTTTCATGTCCTCGACTAACTCGTTCAGAATTATGATTATGTCGTTGACAGTACCTTGAAAATGTTTTTCATCGTATAACATGACGTCATAACTCGTTTATTGAACTGAAATGAACTGTTGAATATTATGTAACAACAAAAAAAAAAAACTGAAACAATAAAGGATAGCCGGAGCTATTGAAATTCCACTTCCGTATTTTCCAGGGAAATGTTTTGCATTACACAGGAATATATTTCATAGCAAGTGTGCTACTGGAGAACCCTTATCTCAGACTTTATGCTCCAAATTTTCCTTTACCTTTAACAACAGCGAACTCATCATGAATTATTTGCCCTAATGGTGGACAAAAAAATTGGTCTCAAAAACCACCCAAAGTAATGGCATGGCAAATTAAATATTTGTATCGATTTTTTTTGTCTTGCAGGGTCCCTTTAAGATGTTCCCGCGTTTAAAACTTCCTATGTACTGTACCTGTTGCAACAATTAATGCACATAGACTTATCTATAGGCCTACGAAGAGATCAATCTTGACTTACTCGAGTGCATAGTAAATTCCATCTTAGCCACGAATATGAAACCTTAAAGCGCATCATAATCACAGCCTAGGCCTATGTGCGTCATATTCCAATGTCTATTGACTAGGCCTATCAAGACTATAAATTTAAAATATGCATAGATGTTTTTTTTTTAAATAAATATAACGCTATTATAGATTAAAAACACTCTGAAAGCAACAAGAATTTGAAACGCGTTTTTAGGTTACGACTGAACGTGCAGACCCAGAGAAACAGATTTATTTAACAATGCAATACCATGGCACTGGTATAGGATTACACCATGATTACACGAAGGAGGAATAGCTTAAAACAGATTATAATGCTATCCAACAAATTTAAGAAGGTTAAAAGAAAATATCGATTTCTCTTTTTGTTGTCAAATGTAACTACTAGCATACCGTAGCATGGGTTCCATTTTTGCCAAACTAAGATTGATACCTCAGGTATAATATATGGTATGTAATTAGAGATTATCAAGTGGAAAAAGAAGATTAGGTTTGAATTACTTGATTGTATAACTAAAAATCATAAATCTAATTTTATACCTCCTTTAAAAGTCATCCTTGAATTTGGCCATAAACCGGAGAAAAAAAGGAATTTGCACTGCATGTTTTATAAAGACTGGTCTAAATATGTAGTTTAATGAAGACTGGTCTAAATATATTTACAGCATTATGAATATTAGATTGTTATCTACTGTAATTACATCTTCTTATAAGTAACCCACCTTTACCAAGGCCTATCACATGTTTTCTAAGCCTATTAATTTCCTTAGGGTCCTACTGTTATATCACTATTCTGTTGCTAATGCATCTACGTCACGTTCGACGCTGGCACCCACGACGTTGTCACCTACTGCGTTAAGATTGTGCTAAGCAAATTTGATTTGATTCGCAAGAACATGTTATTGTGATCAGCATGGTAGAAACATTTGCAGGCGAAGTTCATTACTCCTCACACGCTACAGGACAAAATGTTGCGCGGAATATAGAGTGACGTCATATTCTAGCTAGCTTGCTCATAGTATACTATGTAATCGTTTGACTCCCAAAACGCATGGTATATTTTAGGCAGGCCTATTAGACAAGACATAAGGCCGCTTGGCTAGATGAAATAACAAGGTGATTTACTTACAAATTCATTAGGCCTATTTCCTAAGATTTTCGGATACAGATTTGAAAATAATTAACCTTCGTATTGGAGCCATTATCCCCTACGGCGGGTCTCAGATCCTGCGCTATGAACTTTTGTAGGATTTGTTTTAGAAAATATGTCTTTTACAGTTCGTTAATTACCAAGCGGCGCCAAATTGTTATAGTGAAAAAATACAAGTTATTACATTACATTATGAGCAAAATCAAATTATGCCATTACTCTCGGAGATACAAAAGCGTAGGCTACCAGTATTTGTAAACTTTTCGAATATCAATTTTCATTAGGTTACACCATTTATGTATCTTGTGGTAATTAGTTAGTCATTACTATTAATGACTAACTAATGACAGCAGACAACAACAACAATAATAGGCCTAATAATAATAATAATAATGATAATAATAATAATAATAATAATAATAATAATAATAATAATAATAATAATAATAATAATAATAATAATAATAATAATAATATAATAAAAATAATAAATCTTGGGCTTGGGCTCGATAGAATTCAGCCAAGTTTGCAACGAACAATTGACAATTCCTATTTATTTATTTAATGTACTTTATTAAATTTATTTATCCGATTAACCACTACCGATAGGCAACAAAACAACATTGACAACCGAGTTCGTTTCTGTTAAACATAAGGATGACGTTATTAATTAATTGTTTCCCATTGTTTTATTGTATGTCTGTTCCTTAAAAGTGGGACAAAGGGGCAAGCACCTCGAGGTAAACAAAGTCAACGAATCTTATAACATTGCGCAAGCGTAAAAAAAAGCGTTTGAACCCCGACCTCAAGTTGAGAGCCGACGCGCGCTCCAATTTCAGCGTGTCCGTTGTTTAGGCGTTAATCCACACATGAAAATATAACATGGCATCGAATCTCTGCACCACTCTGTCAAGCTGTAACCTTTTATGCTGCTCACTTTTGGTTACCTTTTTAATACATATATCTCGTCCATTTCTTCATTTTACGCCTATTATGACGTACTACATGATGGAGGAACGATGGTCTTCCGGCAGTAGCGCCGAGAGGGTGTAACAATAGGATGAAAACAGAGTGATAAAAAATTAACGGCGACGGCGACTTTTCGTTTATTAATTGGTCCATGGTTATGGTTTAATGTAAGCCTACTTAAAAGACCGTAGCCGCAACCCCATTGAGGCCCTATTTGACACAAGTGGCAGTATCCCATGGAAGGCCATGGACATTTTTCCATCGGACAAGCATGCATCCATGTCCGAGTCGTCAGACTATTAATATTAATTTCAACCAATAAATGCAGTTTTTAATAGGGGCCTATTATGGCCTAAAAGTACAATTTTTACCATCCTAAACCTACTCCTGAGACATTGACAGGGGCCCATGCGCGGGCATTCCTTGGTTCGGAGCCGGAGCCCTGTCAGGTTTGGAGGACCCTTTAACTGTTTTTAAAAATGCGGTACATTCCCTATCCAATCAGGAATTTGAAATGAGGGGCCTCAGGGAGGGACTTTCACAGATGGAGAATCTATTCCACCTCGCCCCCCCCCCAATCATGGTTGGGGCTGGGGTAAGAAAAATGTATGGTTATGGCACGAAATGCCATCATTTTTTTTATGTGGAAAATATTAGTGGGGGGTATTCCCCCTCTTGGTTGCCGAAAGTAGGCCTAGTGATTCGATTTCCAGCGAGAGTACAAAGTAATTATTTGCTTATTTATGTTGTAACAAGCTGTAGAACCAACGTCATAACTATTTCACAATGCTTTCGCTTTTAAATATCTGAACATAGCTCAAAACCACACTTGAACGATACATCTCTATTTTAGTGAAATGTGTTTAATTATTGCTCCATGTAAAGTAACATGCATGATTTCCAAACACGTTTTCATAATTAATTAAAGCAGTCTATCTTCCCAGATAACCCAAAGGGTGAGCCATCACTCAGCTCTGTTGTGAAGTTTGTTATTGACTGACAGTTGACTGATTGCACAATACAAAGGGCTTCCCCAGCAGCTAGAGTATAAAAGCAATCAGCTGATTGCTATTGTTACACATTCGTCACCATCAACTCGCTTAAGGCTCGTGTCGCGCGACATTCGCTCTGTCAAATCGAGGAGGTATAGGCCTACTTATTCCGATCCGATTTTTGACAACGGTGCCGTAGCCTAGAAAACATCTAAAAATGGACTTCCGCGACGGATTGTACAACCACTGGGGCTGGGTTTTAGTTGTGTCCTCATTTATTATTACTATTCCATTACATGGAATCGAATACAGCTATAACTCGCTGATGGTTTGGTTCCAGGATGAATTTCAGGCCAGCAAGTCAGAGACAGGTAGGTTTACAATTTTGTTTTAATTATTATTTTATTTCAGGGTTTTGTCATTTGTGATGAAGATTACAATGCTTCGTATTCTCCTCCCTTACCCTTTTTTCAGTAAAGAACTCCCCTGGTGTATCCAAGAAGGTCCTGTATTAACTTAATACCTCTTTGTTTATCTGTATTTTGCAGTGTTAGTCGTTTTAGTCATCTGATAGTTTTAGTATATAGACATTTGGTGCTTTATTCCATAGGTCAAAAACTTATTCATGAACAAAATGTTTACAAAGCAATTTATTAAGATATCTTCTTATGATAATAATAATAATAATAATAATAATAATAATAATAATAATAATAATAATAATAATAATAATAATAATAATAATAATAATTGTAAGGTCTATGTTACACTTGATATATTAAAAAATGTCAATTAAGGTACGTTAAATTATGAGAGAATTAGAAAATAACAAAAGAAAATTTAAAAAATAAATAATATGCATTTAATTAAAAAGTATAATCATAGCTACCAACCTGTCCTAAAGGTCAATACGAGGTACTCTAACTCTTTGCGTACCTGGTTATAATAATACAAGGACATTGAATTAAATGTACGTTGGTTTAAATCCATCGTTAATTTTGGAGTTTTGCCCATGGTTTATTCTTTTTCATATACAGTATACATATTTTAGGAATCAGTAATCGCTTTTGTTTGGCATAATTTATTAAAATTTTATCCTAAAACAATAAACAACACAAATCCGGAAGTGGTTAATGAGATAAAGTCCAGTTCTAACCGCTTTATGCAAATGAGAAATTGCTCTCGATAGCCAATCGCAAGCGTTGTCCGTGTTGCTATGGGTCGTGAATTAGCAAAAAGTTACGCAATATAAGCAGTCATAAGGTGATTGAAGCCAAATTAAAAAAAAAACGTTTCTCGTTTTCTCCCACATCTTTTTCAGTGGACAAAGAAACCAGTTTGCTGAATTTTCGTATAAAGAATTAGTATCCATGTTCGTCTAGTTATGTTGCCATATTTATAATAATAATAATAATAATAATAATAATAATAATAATAATAAATTATTATAATTATTATTATTATTATTATCATTATTAATATTATTATTGTATGATTATTATATCATGACTATTAGGCCTACTATTAAATTATATTATTATTAGGTTTTCAATGTGCCAGTAATTATTTTTAATATTTAGTATTATATGAATGCTTTTATTTGTATTGTAATAATCAATATGGCGCCCTTGACCATCGTTTAATTATTTTAAATGTGTATACCAAAGAGGCTTTTCGACGCATTTTAATAGATCATACGGCATTTGAAGCGGGTAGTAAACAGACTGCGAAACAACAATAAACTGGATTATTGTACTGCACTGTATTATTAGCAAACAATGGTAAAATATTATGGTTGAACAGAATTAGCTTTCATTGTCCGTGTTTAATAGGGTTTTCACGATTACTAACGGGGAAGGAGAGCTCGTTAAAGTTATTTATAGAAGAATATGTACTTCGGTACTTCACATACCGATTTACGAGGATCACGCTACACAGTGGGTATACACCCTTGTGTTGAGTCATGTGAGAGAAGAATTCCCTAAAAAGACTTCTGTAGTTGTGCAATCCCTTTCCTGCTATATTATATTTCCTGCTGTATATATATATACCGCTTAGCTCGAAAGAGGTTGATGGATCTAGAATGGACATTGCGACATAAATATTATACAGCACTCGATTTAAGTATTTCGAAATATAGGCCTAACCAGAATGATAAGAAAAACAGAAATGCGGTATCTAAATATTACAATAACAATACAGTAGGTGGTCGACCTTTATTTCACATCGGAAGTTAATAGTATTAACACCAATAATCCCTTCGTATAGGCCTATAGACCTAGATTTATATTCTCTGCCTCTTTACCAAGCAGACCAGCGTAGTTGAAAAGGACTTGTCACATGGAATGTGGGGAGGGGGGTGTGCCTGATCCTTTTGATCCCTGATCCTCTCTATATTATGTCAGTGAAAAATTAATGGGATTTAAAACACTTATAATTAACTTTATCTCCAAACTAGTGAAACTGACTTTCATATTTCCCTACCCCACCATTCAATAATAGGCCTAACATGGATACTCATGTGCGGTAGAGTACTATACAAAAAAATAGGCTACTACTGTACTAATCCACTTCTAGTAGTTTAGTGTTTTGATTTCTGCTGGTGTTTTGGCCTGTGACAGTAAAACAAAAAATGATGGTTGGAATTAACATAAACACAGATTTGTTTTGAATGGTTTACATAATAATATCGACATTGTTTGTATACAAGTGAATCATTGTGTTTGTTGGATTTTACTGTTTTTTATTTACAATTCTATTTTGTCATTCATTGTGTATGCCTAGACAATATTTTTTAGTAATTTCAATATAAGCTTACTAGAAAATTAGATTTACTAACTTTTAATTATTTCATATTTTCAGGTTTGGCGGGAACCATTGCGATTGGTCTACTCTCTTTATCATCTCCACTGTCATTCTTCCTCTTGGAATTCGTCAGCACCCGTACTGTCATCCTCCTTGGTGTCGCCATGTGTTCCACTGGTCTCTTCGCATCTTCTTTTGTGCCGTCACTTCCGTATCTATACTTCACCTACGGCGTGTTGTACGGAATTGGATCGAATTTCACACACGTGCCAGCCTTAGCGCTGATCATCAAGTATTTTCCGAAGAAACACACGGTCAGTTCTACGTGCATAGCTCAACTTGGCGCAAGTATAGGTAAACATGTCTTATTTATTTCATTATAATATAAATGAAACTTAGATAGCCTACGATTTTACACACGTACATATATTTTCTGTTTTCAAATTTAACAAAAACACACAACACCAACTCTAGGCCTATATCGTACCAGAAAAAGCATTCTTATTAGATCAAAATTTCATCCTAATCGTGCAAAACTGCACACTTCCGTAAATCCGCACTAATGCTTCATTAAACCATCTTAGATCGCGTGCTGAGAGGCCGAGTTGACGATATGATCTACGTCATAATCAGGGAACAGTGAAATTTAACTGTCATAATATAAACTTCCTCTGCTATAACAATCGGAAAGTAAATAAGCACCACGCGAGAATCAAAATTCAACTTAAAAATAACAAGGGGTGGGAGTGGGAGGGGGTACTTCGGGATTCATTTGTATTAATGAGGTATTTTTAATGTTCAAGGCTCAAACTGGGGTCACATTTTCTTCTTCCTCCCTCTTATTCCGCCACTCAGAATTATTTATTTTTCTACACGCCTCTACATAGGCTCCTTTTTGTAGTGATTACAGTTACTAGTCATAGGCCTATATGGCTGTAATATAAATTAATAAATTGATTGTACAATATTTCTTTTTGTCTTAGGAGTCATTGCTTTGCCATCGATCGTGGAGACCCTGTTCGGCCAACTTGGATGGAGAATGTCAATGAGGATCTTCGCTGGAGTTATGCTCTTGACGGGTACACTTGGCATTGTTTTTGTACCACCTACAGTGGTCGAAGAACGCCGGCAGTCTAAGGCGATGGAAGCTCTGAAAGACTGCGAGAAGTCTAAGGAAGCAATGCTCGAGAAACAGGGACTTGAATTGATTCAGTTAGACCTACCACAGAAAAGTTTCGTCAGGCGTTACATCGACTTTATGTCACAAATGAAATTCTGGGTGACCGAGCTTCTATTCTTTGTTATGGCGCTTGGAGTAACAATGAGCTTAACAAATATTGTAAGTATTTTTAAATGTTAGTATATTAAAATATACTGTATATATTAAAATATACTGTATATTATTATATTAGGCTAAATTGTTGAGCTATACTCATTTTTTTTAAACTTAGGCCTATATAAGTATTTGTTACGGTTGGTCTGTGTTCATAAGAAAACCGTTACGATAACGAATCAATTAATAGACTGGTAAAACTAGCTAGCTATAATGGGTTTAAGATGAGACCACAGAATGGCGAATCTAACAAAAATGTGTTTTTTATTTTATTTTTTTTTATTTTTTTTTCTTGAGCGTTCTTTTCTTTTGATAATTTCGCAATGCGTGGAAATTTTCTTTCTGTATTTAATTGCGACGAATGCCTGCTAGTGAATTTGGTTTTGCAGCACTACTGTATAACAAATCTTTTGCTTATGTTTTAGGGAAGTTTTCTATCAGAGACCTCGCTGAGTGAAGATAAACAAGTTCTCGTATTGAGTGTAATGGGAATAGGTGATCTGGTTGCAAGGGTGTTTGTGTCGGCAGCCGTTGAGCGTCTTCCGTTTTCCAGGACAACTTACTTCAGTATAGCTTGCCTCATTGCCGGAGTTCCTTTCTTTTTCTTAGTGGTTGCGTCCGACAGCGTAGTTCTTCTTATTTCATTGTTATTGCGTAAGTATAACTCATTTAATACGACATAGGCCTGTCATAATAAGCAATTAGTATAGTCGAATTTCTTCCACTGAATATTATTATTTTAAGAAGACCGTACCGTCAACAGTTTATACGTAAATGATGACATTTACCGTGGCCTATCTAATCTTCAAGTTACGAACCTTGTACATTACGGTATCGATGTAGAGCATCAGGGGTTCTCAATTATCATCTTCGTTTTATTTTTAAAAAAATAAAGAAAAAACGTCTCGGAGGTTATTTTCGGTTGTCTAGAAAACAAAAATTTCGCTTGGCATGCCCCCGGAACACCCTGGGGTGGTGTTATCTCAATCGGCCCACTTTCGCCCCCCCCCCCCTTTTCGGACATCTCTTGATTCGCCCCTGATCACATCATGGGGCTTTATGAAAATTGTGTTAAGTCGAAGGCCAAGTCCTTGTATTTGCAGGGCTTGACCTTTGATCGCGGACTTGGACTCCCGGCATCATCCCAACTGGGCCCTTAAACACTACAAAATAAGCGCTTATCGTTCCTGAATCTTTAATATGCATGTTACCGATATTGTATACAACTCTACTTTTCTTACAGTTATTAATTTCGGAAGAGGTAGCTTATTTGGCATGATTGTGTCCGTCGGGGTTGAGGTATTTGGCGCGGAAAACTCAGACGAATCAACAACAAGTGTCTTCTTTGCATTTGGACTTGGTGGTCTATTCGCTGCTCCTGTTGGTGGTAAGTTAACTTTCCACTTCATCATCATAAGCGTAATCATATTCATGATCATTATATCACCATTACCATTACCATCATCGCAGTCACTGATAAATACATTTTTTATCGTCAATCTCCTAATCGATAATAATGTAGATCACTCAATATTATAAGTGTATATTATTCGCCATTATTTATGAATACATAATTATCGTTATTTTATTTTCCTTATAGGTGCTATTTCAGACGCTACAGGATCATACGTTGCAACATTTTACTTCTGTGGTTCTTTGTGTATATTAGCGTTTATAATTGCAACAGTACTTGCAAAGATGAGACGCAATGCCAAAAGTAAACTTTACGAAGGCTCAACAGAATCACCAATCGTCTATACCTTCCCGGGCATTAGCAGTGGGCCTGAAGTTTACGAAACCTACATAACCACCGTATGAGTGGGCCGAACAGCTCCCTGAAGAAAAAAACTGCAATAGCCAATACGAACACCGAACTTGTATCCATAACTTGTTAAATTATTATTACCTGTTTGTACATTTAATATGAATAGTACCTGTATAAAGTTAAAGCGATTTTTTTTTGTGAATTCTTGCCAATACATTTGTCCGGTAGATATGAAAATATAGAAAGTTATAATTTACTGAGAAGCCTTATGTATTGCACAATAATACAATAATGAATTTAGGTTACGTTATACTGTATATAATTTTTTTACAAGATGAAACCAAAATAAAAAAAAAAAAAATATATATATATAATCATAATATTGATAAGGATACTTAAAGAAATTGCTAATCGCTGGCGGATTAGTAAAGACTGTAAGTTGAATGTGTGTTATGCTAATTCCAACGAATGAAAACGACGATGAGAGGCTCAGAATTTTCCATATATAAAGTTGATATATAATTGCCCACTATCTAATAGAAACTAGACTACATGTAGGCCTGATATAAACACTTTAAAAGGGATGAAGTTTATTAGGCTTAACCTTTATATTACTTTAAGTTGTTATTAATATGTAGGTATTATTTTATTTATATATTGTATTTGTCAAAATGACTGATGTGTTTAAAGATATACACGTGCAAATGATATGCCGAGTCTAGAAAATAAGAAATTTAGAAAAAGCAAAGTTTTATTTGAATTAAGAAGAAAGCATGACTTGTACCGTCCGTACGTGCCTTATGGATCAGTGTTTATACAGAAGTATATAGATCATTTCAAACATTTATTTTATTTTTTATATTTTATATTTTTAGACGTTTGTACTAATGCCAGTGTGTTTGTAATGTGAGTGTTTATTATTTATTCCAATCACCTTTTGAGATAAATACGACATGCAAATAAAGCGAGAATTCTGTACTGTACCAAAGCGTAAAGGAATGTATTGTTGTGCTTTTTGTGTCACTTCGCTTTGCAATAATGACAGGGATGTGTCCAGGCCTCGTGTGAAATATGGTAAATCATTTTACAATGTGTATGAATGTAAAATTCAATAGTTACGGTATGAATACTGAATTCGACATTGAAGTTGTATTATAATACGGCCGGCATAACATAAAGAACAGGTTCTCTTACACTTTAATTTAATATCACTACCGAAAAATCATTCCAAATCTAATGATGATGATGATGATGATAATGATGATGAGAATAGCAGTTTCGATAATGAAAATTGTGATGTAATGATGACGATGATGATTATTATGATGTGATGATGATAAACATCTCTCGCCAAAATCCCATCATTATCTTGCCCTCAACCCATTGCATTATAGTCATATTTGTGAAAATTATTTAGCCTACGAGTAAATTACTAAAACTATATTCTTAAAAAAGTACCGTATGCAATGATGGAAAGTATCTATGGCACATCCAATATCAACTTTAACTCTTCATTTAGCAATACATATCTCAAAGGCAGTAATTCTAATATATATGCACAAACGTGCAGATAGGAATATCACACTATATTTTATTTATTTTAAGTCAAACATCGATAAAGATAGAGAAATTAGTCTAAACATGTATTAAAATATAAATGAATGATGTTATGATCGAATTGAATGATGTTATCATATTGCGCTCGATACGAACGTAACATAAATTGTTTATTTTTAGCTATTTATGTATAACATCTGATTGAGCCTACCATTCCATTCTGGACTAACGCCTCCACTATGTGATATATCAGTTGTATGAAGGGGTTGATTTTTCTGGATTGAGGTTTTTATGGGAAAGTTTACATTTTGGAAGGTTACCGGAAAATCTTTTTAAAGAGCATGGGGAGCTTTTTATTGGTAAAAATCAATTTAAATTGTGAAGAGTTTAGATGTTTTTATTGTATAGCATGCGAAATGTCCCTTCAGGCTAGCCCAGCTCGCTAGAAGTCGACGAAGAACTTAAGTCCTTTTCCCAATGATACAACGGCAGACAATACCTTTGAATTGTTAAAGTTTGGTAGTTGGGTCGGTGTGATATCCTGGTGCTGAACAGGAGGTACATATTCGAGGACGGCCCCGCAGAACGGGCAGAGTTATCCAAGGTACAGTATAAGCAATATCTATCATCGACAAATTATGCGCTAATGCACTTTAGTTCTCTACCCTACATTAAGATTGAGATAGCGATACTGAAGTTCTGGTTAAGGTTAGAGTGGAGTATTAAAGTGCATTAGCGCCAAAGATTAAAAACCTAAATTGAGGTGAGCAATTTAAGAGTGAAGTTGAATAGCTGGCGGTTAAGATGATTGCTTTCCAATTCTCTGGTCCTGGGATCAATTCCTGTTACAGGAATTTTTTTTTTTCATGACCAAAATGACTCCAATACTTAAGCCTTAAAATGAGATACTATGAAGAGCATCAGCTCTTGTGTGTATGTTTTTCTTGTGACGGGATTGCCACTTTGAATAGTGATTAAGTTCACTGTTTTTGGCGATATAGGTGTCTTAATAAGTGAACTAAAATAATGACTGACCACTCCGCCTCCCACCGTAAAAAAGTAGGACGACAAACGATAAGATGGTGCGATGGTCTGACGTGAGGCTTTCATTCGTATTAATGTCGTCAACGTATACATCCAGGCTTTCACCCTCACATCGCCATTACCATCCAACGCACAATAAATATTTGGCGTAGTTTAGTTACAAACATTAATATAGAATTGTCCGCTGAGGCACATCGTCAAAGATTAAGGCATAGTGTTGTGATCTACGTCGAATACCTTGGAGACGTCCAACAATAATACAGTCGTATTAATTGCTCTCCGACGCACTCGTTAACTTGTGGTAGATTATGCAAATTAGAGGTTAGATAATTTGATTTTGATCACAATCGAAGTTGATGACTTATTTGATTCTTTTAAACACCTTTAAATGAGAAATCCAATGTTGACTTTGTTGATATTATCCCGTATGCCTACAGTTAAACAAACACAAGGATGCCCAGTCCTGATTTAGGCCTACGTAGATATCAATCGACCTATCTTTCTATATACTAACATTGTATTACTCGATGGGACACATAATTTAATGTTCTATTATTATCACAGAATAATTGCTGTTCAAATCCCTATAAATTATAATGGACTCAAACCCTGTAAGTAATTTGCGTTGTTACTATGAATAAGGAAATAAATTCATGAAGTAGTGTACAATGACAACTGCGCAATTAAATCGCCTGCAGTTGAAATTAACCAGAATAAATCGCTTATTAATCTATTCAAAGAAATTTGAATTTTCCTATATTATAAAAGTAAAATACCGATTGTTCCTTTTCAGTACAGTAGATGTTAACTTTCGTGCGTCAACTGCTGTGATTTTTGTGGGATCTTCGGAATTTTAGAATGTTTCTTCGTTGTATATTTATCTTAATCTTCGCAATGATCGTTCTACAAACAAGTAAGTAGGCCTATTATTAACTTACATTTTAAAAACTAATGTTTACTTTCTTCGTCTTTCTTGATATGGTCTGCAATGTTATTACCAGGTAGAGTACCAGCATGGGTACTCTTTTTTTCTGGATTACTTGTCGACGAACAATAAACTCAAATTTAATAAAAAATATGTCAGATTCTATAAATTTCACTTAGCTTATCGTCAATATCTGGGACCATCAGCATCGATCGTGAAGTGTACCTCTTCTATTTATTGATCAAAAAAACATTTTAACGTAAATTATCATTAATAAAGATCGGAATTCTGAAGAAAGCACCAATACTATCGTTAAAAAGATCATTTAAACTGCTAGTGTGCTGTGTTTTCTTAAGAGGATTCAATATGGCATTTGTAGGACCAGTGTTGGAATTCGGTGAGTCAACTTAATCTGCTTTATGGATCACCGTGTACTGAAACAGATTCTTAAGAGATCATGTAACATTCTTAGATAATATTACGGTTTACTGTATAGGATTGAGAAGGCATGGAGCGAATATCTGCCCAATGAAACTTCACCTATTGCAAATAAAGCCCAAAAGATTTAAAGAATGGCTAACCAATAATTTCGGACATCTCTGGATCCGCCCCCCTGCCCATAAATGAAACAAAGCAAATGTGCACATAATATGAATAATTGCCGCACAACTTGCAGATTAAGTAGGCCTATAGGCCTATATAAATTAAACATAGCCCAAAAGAAGCTCACTTTTCTTCTGATTAAACTCTCCATGATTGAGTTGAAGAACGATAACCACTGTGAAAATATCCCCTTGCGTTCCGCTGCTTTGCTTGCTTGTACTTTGTATCAGTATGTCTTTTGATGCAGTTTTTAATACTAATAAACTTACATCTCTTATATTATTTTTGTAAGTTCAAATAGTTTCATCTGGTTTCTGTATATTTAATGATTTACTTACAAGAATTTTTCCACGTTCATATTTTTTTTTAAAGTTTGTAATAGGCCTATTGATAGTGTTTCTCAATGTTTTGTATGTTATAGTATGTACCGATTATTCCCTGTTTTATAATATTCAGTTCTCATTCTGTCAAAATTGGTTATTATAAAGAATAATGTTAATAATAGGCCTAGCCTGGGCTGTGAACCTTAAAGTTTTCACAACCGAAAGGGCTTACAGCTTAAGTTTAGGAAATTCCAACGCTTATAAATATTAATTTCACATCAGTTATTTTTTGTCCAGTTATTTTTACAAATGTTTCTTTTAAAATTTTCTCAATTTATTGCATACTATGCAAATAATTCAAATCATATTATAATAATATTAGGTCAATAATATAAAATCGAATTTCATTCATGTTCAGCCAAGAAAATAATGGAATATTTAATAATGGTCAATTTATTACGGAAAAACCAAAACAGATTAAGTTTATTTAGAAAACAAAATCCTGTTGTAGTCCCACCAAGACTTCCCTGCTACCTAACCATTCGGTTGTCCTCTCAATGTGCCATGATGCCAGTCTGGTAGGTCTACATACTCATTGGATGTTTCACACAAGAACATAGCTTTCTTAACGTATTAAATATGAAAATTGGAAATGACATGATCTTTAATAAACATTGAAGAAACACTGAAGTTGTATTACTGTGATAAAGTTCTGTGTGTTGAGGAGGAATGGTTTTCCTCTCATAATATAAAGTTTAATATCATTTTCAAATTAATTGCGTATTATGTCTTTGTCCTAGTGAAAAATGTATAGAATTACAGAATACCACAGGCCTAATTTTGTCTTTGTCTATTTTGTCTATATACCAGAGGCCATTTCTTGCAAGGATCGTTTATGTGGTGGTATCGTTAACAGGAATTGTATCACAATGTGCTCTTCTATTGGTAGAAAACGTAGTGGTAAGTTATGTCCAAGACAGTTTAACCAAAAAAAAAATCATGTTAACCTGATTTAGTAAGTCGGACTACTACAACCATTAGGCCTACAATTTTTGAATTGAATTTAAATGTTTTGAGCAACGCTCGGTACTATAAACGAAATAATTGAAAAATAATACCGTTCTGTCATGTTAATTCCCTCTTAAATTAGTGCAGTCAATTAAGTAAGTAGGCCTATATAAGCAGTTTTTATATCAACAGAAAATGAACTTTAATTATCTCATTAGAAATCGGTAACTTATTTGAAATTAGCAATTGAATGATGGTAGGTCAATATCGTGCAGTGCATTTGGTTTGAATACCTATTGAAATTTAATGATTAATTTTATTATTATTATTATTATTAATATTATTATTATTATTATTATTATCATCTATCATCATTTCTATTTTGTTCTCTTCACCACCACTTTTATATGTTATGTTATGTTATCAATAGTTCAAAAACATAAGTATAGAAACATTATTTAACATCGGTTAATATATGATTACCAAAATCATTACATTCTATAAG